AAACCAGCCTTGAACTTTCATTGGCTTGCTTTATTTATTTATTTATGTATTTAGAAACAGACTCTTGCTCTGTCAACCAGGCTGGAGTGCAGTGGCGCGGTCTCAGCTCACTGCAACCTCCACCTCCCAGGTTCAAGTGATTCTTGTGCCTCAACCTCCCGAGTAGCTGGGATTATAGGCGCATGCCATCGTGCCTGGCTAATTTTTCTATCTTTAATAGAGACGGGGTTTCACCATGTTAGCCAGGCTGGTCTCTAACTCCTGAACTCAAGTGATCTGCCCACCTCGGCCTCCCAAAGTGCTGGGATTACAGGCATGAGCCGCCGTGCACAACCTCTCATTGGCTTTATATATTAAAATGTATTTCACATGTATGCAAAGTCAGCTGAACCATTGCTTTTGGGCTTGGGGAGGGGGCATAGCCTCTGGGAATTTCTTTTTCAGGCTGATGAAATCTTTGTACCCCTAGGTATGGCTCTGTGGGGGCAGCATGGAGGTCCTTCCTTGCTCACGGGTGGCCCACATTGAGCGGAAGAAGAAGCCATATAATAGCAACATCGGCTTCTACACCAAGAGGAATGCTCTCCGCGTTGCTGAGGTCTGGATGGACGATTATAAGTCTCATGTGTACATAGCGTGGAACCTGCCGCTGGAGGTAGGGATCACCAGCCTTTCCCCACCACCCCAGAACAGTGATCCTTACTATTTGGTCACGATTTCTTTAATAAACCAATCGTTCCTCCCCAGAAAATGCTCATGCTTAGAAAAATTATGAATGCATTTCAAAGGGGTTCACAGATGTCTCAGCTTTAGAACTCCTGCCTAACGCGAGGGCTAGCACAATGGAAATGTCTTTAAATCGACTTACAGAGATTAGAAGAGTCTTATTGTGTTAATCCCAGTCTTATTATGTTAATCTGGCTGCCCTGCTCTTGATCATATGCTATGTCCACAAAGTTCTTTCCCAGATATTTGGCAGCAGACCCTTCATCCTGTCACTGTGTGTGACTTCCCGTGGAGCTCCAGCTGCCCTGTGTCGTATGCTTTTGCTCTATGCCAAATCCCCTAGTTCTTCAGCTCTCCTCCGCATTCTGCTCAGAAGATGGCCCAAGGAAATCTCCATGTTACTGCAGTCCCACAGGAGTGTCGTGCGGTAGTTGTACGTCAGCGTGGTTTGAATCCCAGCTCTATCATTTGTGAATCAGGAGATCTTGACCAAATCCACTCATCTTCTCTGTACCATTCATCCCTTGGTATCCCCAGGGGATTCGTTCCAGGACTCCCTGTGGATAGCAAAATTCACAGATGCCCAAGTCCCTGATACAAAATGGCATAGTATTTGCATATAACCTAAGCATAACCTCCCGTCTCTCTCTCTCTCTCTCTCTCTCTCTCTCTCTCTCTCTCTATATATATATATATATATATATATATGGTAGCACAAAGGTTTTTTTTTTTAATTTTATTTTTCCATTAGTTATCGGGCTACAGGTGGTATTTGGTTACATGAGTAAGTTCTTTAGTGGTGATTTGTGAGATCCTGGTGCACCCATCACCCGAGCAGTATACACTGCACCATATTTGTTGTCTTTTATCCCTCGCCCCCTCCCACTCTTCCCCCCAAAGTCCCCAAAGTCCATTGTATCATTCTTATGCCTTTGTGTCCTCATAGCTTAGCTCCCACATATCAGTGAAAACACATGGTGTTTGGTTTTCCATTAGAATAATACTCTCTAATCTCATCCAGGTCATTGCAAATACTGTTAAATTATTTATTTTTATGGCTGAATCATCTCTAGATTACTTATAGATAATACAATGTAAATGCTATGTGAATACTTCTTATGCTTTATTTGTGTTTTTTTTGTTATATTGTTCTTGCTGGGCTTTTAAAAAATATTTTCAGTCTGCAGTTGGTTGAACCAATGGATGTAGAAACCGTGGATATAGAGGGTCAACTGTGCCTTATTTTCCTCAGCTGTAAAATGAGGATAATAGCAGATTCTCCTTCCTGGGGTGATTGTAAGAACTAAATGAATTCATACATGTGGCATGCTGAGAGTGGCACCTGGCACAGGATGCGTGGTTCGTCCTATGCTGCACAGTGGCGTGACTTGCACCCTCAGCCACAGGTCAGTTTATCTCCTCAGCCAGAGCACCCATAGGTGTCTGAGCCATGCTGGAAAGTCACCTGGAGTGGTGCCCATTCAGAGATGACAGCCCCTGTGTGTCAGGAAGCTAGAGCCCGGAACAGAAGAAATACGGTTGGATATGTGCCAGATTTGCGGGTCAAGAAGATAAAAGTGAGGAATTTATTCAGTGTTGTTATAGGTTTTGAAATACATTCTCAAGAATTAAAAAACCCCTTCTGGCCACTTAGCACTTTTATTAAGCAATTAAGTGCTTTTAACCATTATTATTTAAATATAGGTAACATTTGTTGAGCACTTACTATGTCCCAGGTACCTAATAAATCATTATTTGTAATATCTCATTTAATTCTCATAACAACCTCATGACGTAAGAACTGTCTGCCTCAGTTTCCTCATCTATAAACACGAATTGTTAAAATTTACCTGATAGGATGCCCGTGAAGATAAAATAAGGCTGAGAACACAGCTTAGCAAATATTAAGTATTCCATAAATGCTAGCTTGATATGAACGTTTTGTGATGTTCATTTTACAGATGAAGAAATTGAAGCTATGAGAAGCTAAAAGGGGCTTGCTTAAGGCCCCACACAAAGCACATGGGCAGGGATGTCAGTTCAGGTCCTCATACAAAACGTCACCCCAGCCCTGTGAAATAGTGAAATCGGTATTATTATTCCTGCTTTGTAAAGGGGAATTGTTTATTTTTTTGAGATAGGGTCTCACTCTGTCACCCAGACTGGAGTGTAGTGGCACGATCTTGGTTCCCTGTAACTTCCATCTCCCAGGTTCAAGCCATCCTCCCACCTCAGCCTCCTGAATAGCTGGGACCACAGGCGTGCGCCCTCTACCTGTCTAACTTCTATATTTTTTGTAGAGACGAGGTTTTGCCAGGTTGCCCAGGCTGGTCTCAAACTCTTCGGCTCAAGCAATCCTCCCACCTCAGCTTCCCAAAATGCTGGGATTACAGGCGTGAGACACTGCACCTGGCCTCAAGTTTTGACCTGGAATGGTGATGTGACTTAGAGTTACAAATAACTCAAGTCTTTTGACTGTAGCCAAGTGCTTTGTCCGTGACTGCAGATAATCTCTTGTCCCAAATGCCAGTGGTAACCTACCAGCCTTTTTAAAAATGACCATTAGCTCACGCCTGTAATCCCAGTACATTGGGAGGCCGAGGCGGGCAGATCACCTGAGGTCGGGAGTTTGAGACCAGCCTGACCAACATGGAGAAATCCTGTCTCCACTAAAAATGCAAAATTAGTTGGGCGTGGTGGTGCATGCCTGTAATCCCAGCTACTTGGGAGGCTGAGGTAGGAGAATCACTTGAACCTGGGAGACAGAGGTTGCAGTGAGCCAAGATCGCACCATTGCACTCCAGCCTGGGCAACAAGAGCCAGACATCATCTCAGAAAAAAAAAAAAAGACCATCTCATGAATCATGCTAAATATATTAAAACAAAGAGTTAAAGGTTACTGCTCAGGGTTGTCTTTGAGATTGAATAAATTTGACATTTAAAGAGATTTCCCTTTAAAGTCACTGTTTGACTGCCCAAGTGATCTTAATGACATAATTGGAAGTCTTCTCTTAGGCCCCCCAGTGCATCCTGTCTCTGCTAATTCCTGGCCATCTTGCAGCTGAGTCTGTGGAGTCATATTTCAGATACTTTATTTTCCCTGTCAGCACACAGCAGCCATTACAGGTTCATTTCTGTAAAAGCAGAGTGAATTATTCATTAGAACATCATTACAAGCTTTGCAATGGGAAATTATTTTCACTTCTGCATATAATGAACTTCGCAAAGAGCCAACAAAAGGAGAAATTTTGCAGGTATAGGAAAGAAAGACAGGAGGTGGTTGTAGGCATTTCTTTTCTTGTCCTAATCAAATAATTCCTCTAATAATTGTCTCTGATAGTTACTAAGGAAATGTGGAAGAGAAGAAACTGAGAATGTAAGTCGTCAACATCAGTGTGTCCCAGAAATCCATTTGCACAGCAATGATAAGGATGGTTGGCTTGGCTGGGACCTTTGTTGTTGCAGGTTCCTGACTTTGCTCAGGAAGGAGGGTTCCCTGGCCTGGGTCTGGATGAGTCAAATAGGTCTCCTTAAACCGCCCTTTCTGCCAGGTGCGGTGGCTCACACCTGTAATCCCAGAACTTTGGAAGGCCAAGGCTGGCCGATCACTTGAGGTCAGGAGTTCAAGACCAGCCTGGCCAACATGATGAAACCCCATCTCTTCTAAAAATACAAAAATTAGCCAAGCGTGGTGGCGTGAGCCTGGAATCCCAGCTACTGGGGAGGCTGAGGCAGGAGAATTGCTTGAACCCAAGAGGACAAGGTTGCAGTGAGATGAGATCACACCACTGTACTCCCAGCCCGTCTCAATAAAACCAGAACAACAATAAAAAAACCCTTCTGAATAAGCATAAGAGGCATAAGATCTTCTCTTTTTTTTTTTTTAGACAGTCTCACACTGTCACCCGGGATGGAGTGCAGTGGCGCGATCTCAGCATACTGCAACCTCTGCCTCCTGGGTTCAAGCGATTTTCCTGCCTCAGCCTCCCGAGTAGCTGAGATTATAGGCATCCGCTACCATACCCAGCTAATTACTTGTATTTTTAGTAGAGATGGAGTTTTACCATGTTGGCCAAGCTGGTCTCGATCTCCTGACCTCGTGATTGGCCCACCTCGGCCTCCCAAAGTGCTGGGATTACAGGCGTGAGTCACCGCACCCGGCCCAGGCTTAAGATCTTCTATGTGAAGCTTTCCCTGAAAGTGACTCCACCTGTGCCCCACTCTGGCCAGAGCTCCATAGTCACTAACACCCCTTGGCTTCTCTCTCTTTTCAGAATCCGGGAATTGACATCGGTGATGTCTCTGAAAGAAGAGCCTTAAGGAAAAGTTTAAAGTGTAAGAATTTCCAGTGGTACCTGGACCATGTTTACCCAGAAATGAGAAGATACAATAATACCGTTGCTTACGGGGAGGTAAATCAGACCGTGCATGCTTTTGGCTTGGAATGCTGTTCAATATGCTGTAGGTTGCTTTGCTGGGGAGAAATAGAGTTGCTCATTCATTCATTCAATGAGTGGTTTTTGGAGGTGCCGGCCCTGATAGCAAGATTCTCTCTAGCCAGGGGGTTGGGGTAGGGAACAAATGTGATGAATGTATAATGGACTATGGATAAAAGACTATGACAGTCTTCTTTGCCTGAGATATGTGGCAGATAATGAATCCTGTTTGAGAAATTTTGACTTTGAGGTCCTCTGAGACCTGTGAATGGAGATATTGAGAAGGAAGTTTGGATATAAAGAGAGGCAGGGGGGTTGGAGTCCTCCATTGCTCTGTGCTGTGGGCTGGAATCACTTATCATCAAAGAAAGGAGGAAATGTTCTCAGATTGTCTATGCTGTGATCATATCACCTTTCTAAACCTGAAAGCAAAGCGATTTTTCTCTTATTACAAATACCATCAATATGCATTTGAGAACATTTTGAAAACAATAATACTAGGGGTGAATATTTGAGTGCTTTTGAAGTACTGGGCAGTATTCTAAGTGTTTTTTGCATACAAATTAATTTCACCTTCACCTTATGAGAGATTAGAGTTACTTCTGTTTTCTTGATAAGAAAACTGAAACTTAGAGAAATTATCTAACTTACCGAAGGTCACAGAGCGTATAAGTCACGAAGCCAAGATTGGACGTGGGGATCCGGATACCAGAGATAACATGTACACTTTGATGTATGGACCTCTGGACTCTGTGTGTGTGTGTGTATGTGTGTGTGTGCGTGTACATGTGTGTGCATGTGTATATACCCATGTATTTTTTTTGCTAAAACGATTCCATTCACAATGCCTAATTGTTTGAAATTTTACTCAATGATATGCAGGATATGTAAGTGTATCATGAAATACTTTTTGTCAGTAATTAATAGCCACACATGGTTCCACTTTTTGTGTAAGCTGGACTTTGCTTGAGAACATAGACACTGGTGACTTTTCCAATTTTAAAATATCACAAGTAGGCCGGGCGTGGTGGCTCAAGCCTGTAATCCCAGCACTTTGGGAGGCCGAGACGGGCGGATCACGAGGTCAGGAGATCGAGACCATCCTGGCTAACACGGTGAAACCCTGTCTCTACTAAAAAATACAAAAAACTAGCCGGGCGAAGTGGCGGGCGCCTGTAGTCCCAGCTACTTGGGAGGCTGAGGCAGGAGAATGGCATGTACCCGGGAGGCGGAGCTTGCAGTGAGCTGAGATCCGGCCACTGCACTCCAGCCTGGGCGACAGAGCATGACTCCGTCTCAAAAAAAAAAAAAAATATCACAAGTACCATTGCTGAGAACATCTTCGTATAGAAACACTCACGCGTCCACCTCGTTCTCCCTTGCGATACCTGTTTGAGATAGAATCGGTGACACGCAGTCAGGCCAAGGAGCAGGGAGCCGAGTGCTCTCAATTTGGCTGAGATACCCCATTAGCTCCGCAATCTGGTTTTCTTCCCTGGGACTCCCTGTGATTACCAGCTTAGAGCTAAGAAGAATCCCTTTGACTTAGAGTATTTACATTTTTCTACAACTGTGGATTTTCCTATTCTTTGCCTGCTGCCTTTTAGAGAAAGTAAATCCACCACAGGTTAAGTCATCGGGGTAGAGTGGTGACCCTCTTGAGCTGGAATTTGGAATGGGATGCTCACGTCTTGCAAGGGCAGTCTCTAGGGCGGTTAGGGATACATGAAGACTGGAGCCAGCCTGCTGGGTTCAAATCCTAGTAGGCTGTTACCAGCCGTGTGGGTCCTCTTGGCAGCCATTCCCTCATCTATAAAATGGGAGGAAGGAGAGTATCTCCTCTCCAGGGTTCCTGGGGGTATAAAATGAGCTGTGATATGTAGAGTTCTTAGAATAGTACCTGGTGTGGCCAAGTGCCATGGCTCATGCCTGTAATCCCATCACTTTGGGAGGCCAAGGCAGGCGGATCACTTGAAGTCCAGAGTTCAAGACCAGCCTGGCCAACATGGGGAAGTCCTGTATAATACACGCACACACACACACACACACACACACACACATATATATAGATATATATAAAACTAGCCGAGCATGGTGACTGGTGCAGGTAATCCCAGCTACTCGGGGCTAAGGCAGGAGAATCGCTTGAACCCAGTAGGCAGAGGTTGCAGTGAGCTGAGATCACGCCACTGCGCTCCAGCCTGGGTGACAGAGTGAGACTCTGTCTCAAAAAAAAAAAAAAAAGCACCTGGCACACAGCAGTAGTTTTATTAATAGATATAAACTGCCTTGCCTTTTCTTCTCCAAAATAAAAGCATGAATTTTTTTTAATTATCTAAGTAATATTAAATATAAAGGAAGAATCGAACAACAATGGGCAGTGAATGGATTATTCCTAAGACAATTGGGTCAATTTCCTAGCTCTTTGGAAAATAAATCAATTTAGATTTTTACAGCTCACCGTTTACCAAAGTAGATTCCAGATGAACTGTAGCATTACATGAAAGAAATAATAAAATAACCATGCGGAAATAGTCATGAATCTCATCTCTGAATGAAAAAGGGCTTTCTTTTTTTTTTTTTTGAGTTGGAGTCTCGCTCTGTTGCCCAGGCTGGAGTGCAGTGGCGCAATCTCTGCTCACTGTAAGCTCCGCCTCCCGGGTTCACGCCATTCTCCTGCCTCAGCCTCCCGAGTAGCTGGGACTACAGGTGCCTGCTACCACGCCTGGCTAATTTTTTGTATTTTTAGTAGAGACAGGATTTCACCATGTTCGCCAGGATGGTCTCGATCTCTTGACCTCGTGATTCACCCACCTCGGCCTCCCAAAGTGCTGGGATTACAGGCGTGAGCCACCGTGCCCGGCCGGAAGGGCTTTCTAAGAATGAAAGCCATGCAAGAAATACAAAGGAAATGTGTCATGGATCCAAGCTCATAAATATTAAAATAATCTGTATATCAACTGAGTAGAGAAATAATACACCAAACTGGAAATACATATACCACAAATGCTATAGATGAACAAATACCATTAATATATAATAAGCTTTGCAAGTTAAGTTAATTTTTTTTTTATTTGAGACAGTCACCCAGGCTAGGGTGCGGTGGCGTGATCTCGGCTCATCGCAACCTCCACCTCCCAGGTTTTAGCAATTCTCCTGCCTCAGCCTCCCTAGTAGCTGGGATCACAGGCACACGCCACCACGTCCAGCTAATTTTTGTGTTTTTGTAGAAATGAGGTTTTGCCATGTTGGCCAGGCTGGTCTTGAACTCCTGACCTCAAGTGATCCAGTCGCCTCAGCCTCCCAAAGTGCTGGGATTACAGGCATTATTTTAAAAATTTGATTTAAACAACAAAATAAAACATCCCCAAAGAAAAATAAACAAAGTACAAGGTCAGTTACACAAGAAAAAATACACATGGATGAAAAATACATGACAATTTTAAATTTATTTCATAGTCAAAGAAAATAAAAAATTAAATACACAGAGGTGGTTTGTTTTTCTTTTTTTCCTATCTGCAAACGAACATAGATTCATTTTATGGAATATGTGTTAATACTTTATAGGCAAGGCCTTAGTAATATGAAAAAAAATCATATCCGCTGTGATAGTGCAAATTGAAACAAGCCTTTTAAAAAGCAATTTGAGCCACATGTATTGAAAAGCTTAATAATGACAATCATAGTTTCTTCTCCACTCTTATCCCAAGCAAATAATCTGAAATAAGGACAAAGATTTGAGAGTAAAATTGTTCAGCTCAGACATGTTATTTTTGAGGAAATTTTTTTTAATTTCACTTGAAGATTAGTTGAATATAATGCGTTCATGGTTTGAGATATTTTATAGCTGTTATAAATGGTACGTACGAAAGTTTAATGACATGAGAAAAATACTGATACCATCATGCTTAAAAGGGAAAAACTCAGTATGAGAAAACTCAATTTGCTGCTATTTTAGATTGGAAGCAAGTGTGATAATAGCATTGGGAAATGCAGAAGATATAATTACATTGGGTAGTAAGTAGGACTTTGGGCAGTTTTAGGGGTGGGGGTACTTTGTCATGCTTTTCCAACTTTCACTAATGTTAGGTGATACTTTTATCATTAGAAGAAAAATAGTGACTAAAAAGGAAACAATAAAAATGACGACCAGCCTGTGTCCCCCAGGCTGGAGTGCAGTGGCACAATCTTGGCTCACTGTAGCCTTGAACTCCTGGACTCAAGCTATTCTTCCACCTCAGCCTTCTGAGTAGCTGAGACTACAGGTACACATCATCACACCTGGCTAATTTTTTTTTTCTTTCTTTGTAGAAATGAGGTCTCACTGTGTTGCCAGGCTGGCCTTGAAGTCCTGGCTCAAGCGATTCTCCCACTTCGCTTCCCGAGTATCTGGGGCTATAGGCACAAACCACCTAGGCTAGAAGACTGCCAGAGCTGCTGTGTACAGCTCCACAGTCTGTGCACTCCACAACTCCAGGAGCTGCCTTTGACATCAACCACAGTATAAATGATGTCCCTTGAGCCATACAGTGGGGGTGGCATTGGAAGTGACATTGTGATCAGAATCTGATTATTTGGAAGAGAGAAGCCTTTTGGTGTTACAGATTTTCTTTTAAAATAATAAAATCAATACATACAGTCTATTGGAAATACACAGATGAAAACTAAACTTACTCCAAATCCCAGTTCCCAGATATAATCAATGTTAACGTTTTAAGGCATCTGGTTCTATTACTCCTTCTCTACCTGCCGAGTGTCACCATTTACAGATACACATTTCAGACGGACTATAGTGTTGAATGAAATAAACCAAATTAATCAAAAACCATTTTTTAGATAGCTCTTCCTTTTTTATTAAAAAAAAAAAAAAAAAAAAGATAAGGTCTTGCTCTGTTGCCCAGGCTGGAGTACAATAGCATGATCGTGACATACTATAGCCAGGAACTCCTCTGCTCAAGCAATCCTCCCACCTCGGCCTCCCTAGTAGCTGATACTACAGATGTGAGCCACTGCTGTTGGCGCTAGACAACTTTTTTTTTTTTTTTGAGGCACAGCCTTGCTGTGTCACCCAAGATGGAATCCAGTGGCACAGTCTCAGCCCACTGTAGCCTTAAACTCCTGGACCGAAGCCACCCTCCCACCTCAGCCTCCCAAGTAGCTGGGACTACAAGCACATGCCACCATGCCTAGCTAATTTTGTTTACTTTTTGTGAAGTTGGGGTCTCACTATGTTGCCCAGGCTTGTCTCAAACTCCTTACCTTAAGAGATCTTCCGGCCTCAGCCTCCCAAAGCACTGGGATTACAGGCGTGAGCCACCACACCCAGCCTACATATGCTTTTAATGCTTAGGGCAGGAGTCACCTCTTAGCAGTTATCTCTGAATCCTTGGAAGGGGTAAAGAAGTTCTCCTTGGCCGGTGGCAGTGGTTCACGCCTGTAATCCCAGCACTTTGGGAGGCTGAGGCAGGTGGATCATAAGGTCAGGAGATTGAGACCATCCTGGCCAATATGGGGAAACCCCGTCTCTACTAAAAATACAAAAATTAGCTGGGTGTGGTGGTGCGTGCCTGTAGTCCCAGCTACTCAGGAGGCTGAGGCACGAGAATCACTTGAACCCAGGAGGTGGAGGTTGCAGTGAGCCGAGATCGTGCCACTGCACTCCAGCCTGATGACAGAGCAAGACTCCATCTAAAAAATAAAAAATAAAAAAGAAGCTCTCCTTGTTGGCCCTAGCATATTTCAGTCATTGCAGTAGACTGTGGACTACTTCAGGGCAGGGACGATGTTATTTGTCTTTTGCTCATTAAATTTAACACAGTGTCAGGCACTTACCAGGCCTTCAATAAATATTTATTAAATTACTGAATGATAGATTTGATTGCAGAAACATTAGAACAAAGTTTAAAAGCTTGGCAGTCTCAAATCATGACGTAAAGCAAATACTCTGTTAAAACATTCATGTCCTTAATATGTAAAGAGTTCTCAGCCAGGCATAGTGGTTAACACCTGTAATCCCAGCACTTTGGGAGGCTGAAATGGGAGGATTGCTTGAGGCCAAGAGATGGAAGCTGCAGTGAGCTGTGATTGCTCCCCTGCACTCCGGCCTGGAGTACAGGCAAGACCCTGTCACTCAAAGAAAAAAAACAAGGATTTAAAAATCTACTCGAAGTGGCTCAGGCCTGTAATCCCAGCACTTTGGGAGGCCGAGGCGGGCAGATCATGAGGTCAGGAGATCGAGACCACCCTGTCTCTACTAAAAATACAAACAAATTAGCCGGGGTGGTGGCAGGTGCCTGTAGTCCCAGCTACTCGGGAGGCTGAGGTGGGAGAATGGCTTGAACCTGGGAGGCGGAGCTTGCAGTGAGCCGAGATCGCGCCACTGTACTCCAGCCTGGGCGACAGAGCAAGACTCCATCTCAAAAAAACAAAAGAAGAAAAAAAAAATCTGCTCAAGTTGTCTGAGCCTAAACACAATTTGGGTACATAAAGAACAGAATGCCGGCCAGGCGCAGTGGTTCACGCCTATAATCCCAGCACTTTGGGAGGCCAAGGCAGGTGCATCACCTGAGGTCAGGAGTTCAAGATCAGCCTGGCCAAAGTGGTAAAACCCCGTCTCTGCTAAAAATACAAAAAATTAGCTTGGCATGGTGGCGGGCAACTGTAATCCCAGCTACTTGGGAGGCTGAAGCAGGAGAATCGCTTGAACCCAGGAGGTGGAGGTTGCAGTGAGTCGAGATTGCACCATTGCATTTCAGCCTGGGCAACAAGAACGAAACTCTGTCTCAAAAAGAAAAGAAAAGAAAAGAAACAGAATGCCTTTTCCTCTCTGTTTCGATGGGGAATGTAATCTGGAGGGGAATGAATATAGATGGAGAGGACCAGCAACATTACCTTTTTCCCACCCATTGAGACCGTAGGGTGCTGGTGGGATAGATACCCGTGTAGATCACAATGCACCTAGAGATCCAAATGAGATCAGTTCTTACATTCTCCCAAAGACCCATGCCTAGTTTCACAGGTGTTGCTTTGGGGACTTTTGTCTATTTCCTCCGTGGGTGCGTTCCAAACACCTACAGTGGTGCTTAGCACAGCATAGGTATATGTTTTTGAATATATAAATAGATACTGCTAGAGCATTTTATGATAGTAAGCTTTTAGGGTTTTTTTTTCTTTTTTTTAGAAATAGGTCTTGCTCTGTCGCCCAGGCTAGAGTCTAGTGGTACAATCATGGCTCACTGCAGCCTGGAGCTCCTGGGCTCAAACCATCCTGCCGTCTCAGCCTCCTGAGTAGCTGGGACTACAAGTGTGTGCCACCACGCCTGGTTAATTTGTTTTAATGTTTTTGTAGAGATGGGGCCTCGCTATGTTGCCCATGTTGGTCTTGAATTCCTGGGCTCAAGCCATTCTCCTACCTCAGCCTCCCAAAGTGCTGGGATTACAGGCATGAGCCACCGCGTCCAGCCTAATTTGCTTTTAGGTTCTTCATGCCTTTATGCACGTCATGACCTGAAAAGCTAACCTTTGATTACCTGGTTTATTAAAACCAATGTTGGTGCTGAGGCCCACTTAGAAGCCTAACCATCTGGATAACCAGATTTTACAAGCCACTTAGAAGCCTTAGAAGCCACTGAGAAGCCTATAAGCCACTTAGAAGCTTCAAAGCCGTTTAGAAGCCTAAGATCTGGGTAACCAGTGCTCCTATGTGCAGAAGTTCCCTCAGATTGCCTTTCATGTTAGGAATGGAGGTGCTGTGAGGGTGGGGGGCAAGCTGCCCAGGACACAGTCAGAGACCTAGGATCCATGCCATCCACCTTAAGACTTGATTTTTCTTGCTAAGGTGATCACTGCACAGACTTGAGCCCTGGTCCTCACTTAGAGGCCTGTGTGGTCTTCCCATCATGAAGTTGGAACCAAGGCATGGTAGAACAGTGACTGGGCATCCACACCTCCACTAGCGGAGCTCTGATGGATCATGTTTTGTCTATTCTTGCAGCTTCGCAACAACAAGGCAAAAGACGTCTGCTTGGACCAGGGGCCACTGGAGAACCACACAGCAATACTGTATCCGTGCCATGGCTGGGGACCGCAGGTAGGAGCTCATCTCTGACCAGGAAGGAAGTAGTAATATCACCATCTCCGGCCCACAGGGGCCTTGCCGGCCTTCTGGATAAAGTTTGTTGCTGTCTACCTTGGTAGTTATTTATTCTGAGATGTTAAGAAGAAGGTAGGAGTCTTGCTGGTTATTTCTCTAAAGATAGGAAAAAGATTCATAAGCGGTTGTTGCAGTGTGCAGAATTTTTTTTTTTTTTTTTTTTTTTTTTTTTTTTTTTGAGATGGAGTCTGACTCTGTCCTCCAAGCTAGAGTGCAGTGGTGTGATCTTGGCTCACTGCGATCTCCGCCTCCCAGGCTCATGCGATTCTCCTACCTCAGCCTCCTGAATATCTGGGATTACAGGCACATGCCACCATGTCCAGCTAATTTTTGTATTTTTAGTAGAAATGGGGTTTCACCATTTGGCCAGGCTGGTCTCGAACTCCTGACCTCAAGAGATCTGCCCACCTCGGTCTCCCAAAATGCTGGCATTACAGGCGTGAGCCACTGCGACTGGCTGCATCAGTGCGGATATTAACAAGATCAATGTGCAGGTTTCATAGGTGAATAAGTCACACTGTGCATATTTCAAAGGTGGATAAGCCACAGAGTCATTTGCTAACATGCAAATATATACCATATGTGCATGTACCGTCATTATAACCAAATCTACCTGCTTACTACTTCAGAGAAACAATTAGCAAATTTCTTCACTAGAATCTGATTGACACATCCATCCTGAAGGAGCGTCAATTAGTTTGGTTGTAAGTACAAGCTGGACCGTAAATGCTGGTTCAAGAGCAAACAGCTGATGGGAAGGAGGAGAATGTTTGCAGAGTGTCTTTAAAAAAAATATGTGTGTCAAATACACGGCTTCATTCATTCATTCACTCAAGTAATATGTCCTGATCACCTACTCTAAAATGCAGCTTTCAGAGAACACGTGTGATAACCTGAGAAGAGCAAAGCAATTAACCAACAAGTAAAAACAGAGTCTTGATAAACGAATTTCCTTTGACAGCTTTGTGCTAGCCAGCGGTGTGTGTGCACAGGTGTGTGTGTGTGCACGTGTGTGTGTACACAAAGAGCTTAGCAGAAATTCTCTTAAGATTGGAAGAAAACACATCCAAGAAAATGTCACTAGTCTTGACATTCATCAGAATTTCAAACATTACGTCAACCAGTAGTAGAAAAAGGCAAGCCACCGACTAGGAAAACATTTATATTTCAATTTCAGAGGAACACTGAAGGTGGGTTGTGAGTCGGGCTCACAGATCCTCTCTCCGGGTCTCAGTTCATTGGTCTGTAAGAGGAAGGCACCTGAGGAGCTACCCTGTAAACACCCTTCATGTCTCTTGTTCTGTGAATGCCCACGTTCACGTGCAAAGTTGCCTTCATCAATTACACTCATCCCCACACGTGCCCGTATCAAGGCTCACAGGTTTTTCTCTGTGCGTAGTGGTTTTGCATTCCCCCGAGGTCACTGCTGGAAAGAGACAGTTGCGTTCCCTCTGCCACGTCACTGCAGGTAGTTCTCATTGTCTGGATGGATACTCCTAAGGTGGGTAAGCAATGCCAGACAGGGTACTGTTCATATCCTGAGCAGATCCTTGCAGCAACTCTGGGAAATAGGCAGGCAGCATGAGGAAACTGAGGCACAGTGGGGCAAGTGCCCATGAGCAAAGCAACATAGAACCCAGGCCTTCCAGCACAGCCAAGCATTTTATACTATCTATCTATTTATTTATTTGTCTATCGATCTATTTATTTTTTGAGACAGAGTCTTTCTCTGTCACCCAGGCTGGAATGCAGTGCCATGATCTCGGCTCAGTGCAACCTCCTCCTTCTGGGTTCAAGTGATTCTCCTGCGTCAGCCTCCTGAGTAGCTGAGATTACAGGCTTGCACCACCCTGCCCCAGCTAATTTTTGTATTTTTAGTAGAGACGGGGTTTCATCACGTTGGCCAGACCGGTCTTGAACTCCTGACCTCAAGTGATCCACTGCCTAGGCCTCCCAAAGTGCTGGGATTACAGGCGTGAGCTACCGCTCTGGGCCAAGCACAGCCAAGCATTTTAAAGTCAAAGATCACCTGAGGTTAGGAGTTCAAGACCAGCCTGGCCAATATGGTGAAACCCCATCTCTATTAAAAATACAAAAATTAGCCAGGCATAGTTGCGGGCGCCTGTAATCCCAGCTACTAGAGAGGCTGAGGCAGGAGAATTACTTGAACCTTGGAGGTGGAGTTTCAGCGAGTCGAGATCGTGCCACCGCACTCCAACATGGGCTACAGAGCGAGACTCTGTCTCAAGGTAAAAAAAAAAAAAGTCAAATGCGATCCATTTAAATTCAAGTTATTTATGGAGCACCATCACCATTTATAATTGGCAAAAAGTGCCCGTGGGGAGCAGGAGATTGGCTGGGAAGCGTAGACCTTCTCCTCTCCCTGAAGGTTCTCTATAGAGAAATGGGGATTCTCATGGAAAGCAATATGGGCTACAGAATCTAATGCAGGTGGCTGTGACGGCTGAGGTGGGAGGACTGCTTGAGGCCAGGAGATTGAGACCAGGCTGGGTGACATAACAAGACCCCCGCCTCTACAAAAAAAATATATAAAATGAGTTGGGTGTGGTGGCACGTGACTCAGGAAGCTGAGGCTGGAGGATCACTTGACTTTAAGGCTGCAGTGAGCCATGATCATGCCACTGCACTCCTGGGTGACAGAGTGAGGCCTTGTCTCTTTTTTTTTTTTTTTTTGAGACGGAGTCTCGCTCGTCATCCAGGCTGGAGTGCGGTGGTGCGATCTCGGCTCACTGCAAGCTCCACCTCCCGGGTTCACGCCATTCTCCTGCCTCAGCCTCCCAAGTAGCTGAGACTACAGGCGCCCGCCACCACGCCCAGCTAATTTTTTGCACTTTTTAGTAGAGACCAGGTTTCACCATGTTAACCAGGATGGTCTCCATCTCCTGACCTTGTGATCCACCTGCCTCAGCCTCCCAAAGTGCTGGGATTACAGGCGTGAGCCACCGCGCCTGGCTAAGGCCTTGTCTCTTAAAAAAAGAAAAAAAAGGCTGGGCGCGGTGGCTCACGCCTGTAATCCCAGCACTTTGGGAGGCTGAGATGGGTGGATCATGAGGTCAGGAGATCGAGACCATCCTGGCTAACACGGTGAAACTCCGTCTCTACTAAAAAATACAAAAAAAGTAGCCGGGCGTGGCGGCGGACGCCTGTAGTCTCAGCTACTCGAGAGGCTGAGGCAGGAGAATGGCATAAACCCGGGAGGCGGAGCTTGCAGTGAGCCAAGATGCGGCCACTGCACTCCAGTCTGGGCAACAGAGCAATACTCCATCTCAAAAAGAAAAAAGAAAAAAATAAATGCATGTCTTCATTCATTCATTCATTCATTCGTTCACTCAACTAATATGTCTTGATTACCTACTCTAAAACGCTAGGCACCACTGTCACACAGGCAGCTGGTATGATACAGTCTTTGCTGTCAAATTGTTTACCCTTCAAGGGGAGGGACTAGAAAAGAGGCAGGAAATCTACAGTAGAATAAGTGTAACCCAGGGTGCTGGGGCCTGGGAGGTAGGAGGTAGCCCAGTTTGGCTGGAACTTTGAATGCAAGAGGGAAGGGAGTGCTGAGAGAGAAGGCAGCAGAGACGTGAAGTGCAGATGGTGAGAGACCTAAGGAGACCTGCACCAAGGTTCCAGCCTGCATGCTGCAGTAGGCAGCAGAATCGCCCCCAAGGCTGTGACAACACCAGCTCCTGGGCCCCGTCCCCAGAATTTTCGGGTCAGATCTCCGGTGGGGCCTGAGAGTTTGCTTTTGTTTCCTCCTTCTTTTCTTTCTTTTTTTCCCTCCTTCGCTCCCTCCTTCCCTACCTCCTTCCCTCTCTCCCTCCCTCCCTTTCTTCCTTCCTTCCTTCCTCTCTTCCCTCCCTCCCTCCTTCCTTTCTTCCTTTCCTTTCCTTTCTTTCCTTTCCTTTCTTTCTCTTCCTTCCTTTCTTCCTTCCTCTCTTCCCTCCCTCCCTCCTTCCTTTCTTCCTTTCCTTTCCTTTTTTCCTTCCTTCTTTCCTTTTTTCCTTTCCTCCGTTCCTCCCTTGCTCCCTCCCTCCCTCCCTCCCTTCCTTCTTTCCTTCCTTCCTTTTCTTCCTTCTTTTTTAAGAGATGGGGTCTTGCTCTGTTGCCCAGGCTGGAGTGCAGTGGTGTGATTACAGCTCACTGCAGCCTCAACCTCCTGGGCTGAAGTGCTCCTCCTGCCTCAGCCTCCTTAGTTGCTGGGACTAAAGGCAAATGCCACCATGTTCCACTCAATTTTCTGTGTTTTTTTTTTGTAGAGATAGAGTCTTGCTATGTTGTCTGGGCTTGTCTTGGACTCCTGGCCTCAAGGGATCCTCCCACCTTGGCCTCCCAGAGTGCTGGGATTACAGGCATGAGCCTCGGCCCCCAGCCCTAATTTTGCATTTCCAGCTGATTTCTAGGTGATGCTGATGCTGCTGGTTTGAGGAAATGGGACTTGATCCAGAAGATGTCAGGGAGCCACTGGAAGACTCGCCTGGGGGTAGAAGAAGTGATACGTTTCGACTGCCTACAGCAGTTCCAGAGGGGACTATCTAAGAAGCTATGTCTTGGACTAGACCAAATGAAAAGCCCCAGCTAGTCTCGGGCTGAGATGGCCAGGAGTTGGATATAGCGACTTGTGGTACTGAGCCTAGAGGACTTGAAGAAAGGGGACACAGAGGGTGGGAGGCAGGGCCCAGCACACTCCCTATACCACCTTCCTAGGATACCCACAGCCTCTGGCCCAGGCAGCAAGATCCCAGAGGCTGAGCCTAGGGCAGTCCCACTCCTGGGCCCCATGGCTGTGCCAGATCACCCTTTTAGGCAATTACTCCAAGAGTGGCTGTGAAAAGAGCACTTGACTCCCAGACTTCTTTGTTTAATCTTCTGAATAAGTCACATTTGAATGGTGCACCTATTAACAGTGACATAATAAA